TGAACAGGGATTTATGGAGAAAAAAACAGCAAATGAAAGCAATGTGAGAATAAGCAGAGGGGGAGATGGTTTTAGTTAAAAATTGGAATGTAGGGCTGGAGAGATGACTCAGTGGTTGAAAGCCTGTACTGCTCTTCCAGAGGAGCTGAGCTCAATTCTTAGCACCCACGTCACGTGGCTAACAATCACTTGTAGTTCTAGCTCCAGGGGATCTGATACCTTTGGTCTCTATGGGCTCCAGTATTAAGGTGCACAGACACAGAGTTAAAAATTGGAATGTAGGGCTGGAGAGATGACTCAGTGGTTGAAAGCCTGTACTGCTCTTCCAGAGGAGCTGAGCTCAATTCTTAGCACCCACATCACGTGGCTAACAATCACTTGTAGTTCTAGCTCCAGGGGATCTGATACCTTTGGTCTCTATGGGCTCCAGTATTAAGGTGCACAGACACAGACACAGACACAGACAGAAAACACACACACACACACACACACACACACACACGATTAAAAATAAAAAAAAATAGAATGGGAAAAATTAGAATGTAAGTTCAGTTGGCGGAAAGATTTTTTCAGTCATATCTATATTACGTAGGACAGAATCAAGCACATACTGGAGATTAAAATAGTATTGATTCAAAAAGAATTAGAGATAATTTATTCTAGAACCAAATATGAGTGACCATGACCTGGGAACACAGATTCAGGTTTCCCCAAATACCATGTTCCACTGTGGTTATATGAGATTTTTATTACAGAACAAAGAAAGTGATAAATCAAAGTGTTTACCAAATACTTTGGTGGTAGCCACAGGCAGGCAGGTTACAGCAAAGCAGGCAACATTCTGCTAAGGTTTCAGATGCTGTCTGATAACAGTCTTAGTTTTGGGATTGGGGAAAGCTGGTGGTCTGTGAAGAACATGTTGCAGTGTTTTAATAGCAAGGATATTAGCCAGACACAGGTGTGGGCAGTGGGTGACTTCCAAAAGGAAGATAGTTTGGCTCTGGTTGGCAGCATTTTAATTCTCCATAAGCTTGAAGTTCAGTCATTTGACCTTGTAGAATCTTTAACACAGGTGTAGCTTTTCTCTCCTTTTTCCTTCTGGGAACTTCAGTTCACAGCACTCTGCATTAGGCACATCATGGCACTGCAGTGGTCCTGTTTTGTGGACGTGTAGTATTGGCATCTGAAGAGGTGTATGTCCCAAGTCTCCCTTATAGTTCAGCAGTTAGTTGTTGGTACCTCAGCATCAATCTTAGCTTTCCAGCTGCAGCCATGTTCCTGACAGTTCCTCCCAGACAGTGAACATAGAGGGTGGCTATTTCTGTGAGTACACACAGAGAAATAGCTGCCCATTTTGCCCAGAATGTTCTTCTCTAAGGAGTGTATTGCCCTGGAGCTCACTGTGAAGTTGCCAGGTCTTTAGGCTCTCTCTGTTCAATCTTGCCTCCTCTCTCTTTTTAAGAGACAAATCCCTCATTCCCTCACCTTCCCAATCTTCCTAACTCAGTTTTGGTGTTTCCTTGTGTCCCAATTGGCACAACAATGGCAATTTGCCTTGAAATTCAACTATCACTTCCATCCAGGACAAACTGTTAGCTTGTGAAGTGTTCCAGATCCAGCCTTCTCAGTGTTACTGTAATGGGACCGAGGATGGTCACCATCTAGGGGTTGGGTTCATTTTCTCCACTAATTAGAGGATCAAAAGGCCAGAAATATCTCAGCCCAGCAGAGAGCACCAAGCAAACAAACTTTAATTTAAAAGATGGACATCCACTCATAAATACATGCACATACGTTCATATATAGAGAAAAACACTCAATAGAAGTGATCCAGAAATGGAAAATAACAACTCCCCGACCCCCAGGTTTTCAGAGGTTTTACTGTTTTCTCCTCCCCTAATTTTGCTTTGGCCAATTTAAACAAGGAAGTGGGTGCTGGTCACAGTCCAAGGCATGATATGTCCAGGGCTACATAACTCTAAGCAGGTCAGCTGAGTTGAAAATAAGGCCTTCCTGCTGGAGTTAAAATCTGCCAGGCTTTTGTCCACCAAGAGGCAGCAGGAAATGTGCCATCTTTATTATTCCTCAGTGACCTCTTTGCTTATTAGGGATTTGATCCCTTATACCAGATCTCAATATTTTTCATGGATTAAGTTTTGCATCCAATTTTCTAGGACACTGGCGCTCAAACCGTGACTTATGGAGTGCAATTACAGCCCCACAGAGAGATGACTAGAAGTTGAGAATATTCATTTACAAACTTATTTCAGGTTCTCTTTTGCTACAACACTGGTGATCTTTAACAGGATATAGCTTAGTTTGGATATTCGTGTGTGGTTTGTCTCCTGTGGAATGAGTTATGGACTAGTCATGTGCAGTGATGGGAACACAGGCAAGGGAAGGAGGGATTTAAGACAGTGCAAGCCTTCATGGGGGGAACCCGCATGAGGAGTCTGTGTGGAGTAAGAATCTGCCAACTGCTTACAAGCTACAGTAGTTATTAGAGAAAGGGTAGGAGGGAAGGAGAGTGAAACTTTCATTTTTGCATGCACTTTGCCATTGCTAGGGCTAAGGAGGGGCGGTGAGTAAAAGAATATTAGGGACAGATAAGAACCCCCTTGTGCTTGTCTTTGCCTGAGTATTATCCAGTAGGAGGAAGGAAAGAATCTAGGAAAACAAGTTACATTAGTTCTGGAAATCAAATTACTGTACTTACTGAATTGTCAGTCTATCCAAAATGGAGAAGCAGCTTCACAAAATGGCCTGGCTTTGCCTAGTGGTAACTGTTTGAGGTACTTTAATGTTAGGAAATTGTGACCCTTAGCAATGTGTAAAACCTATAATTAAGAGCTGGAGAGACGGGTCAGTGGTTAAGAACACTGGGTCCTCTTGTAGAGGACCTGGGTTCAGTTCCCAACACCCACATAGTGGTCCATAACTCCAGTTCCAAGGAACCCTACACCCTCTTCTGGCCTCCTTGGGCACTGCATGCACGTGGTCCAAACATGTAGGCAAAGCACTCATAAAAACAAAAAACAGAATTAACTTTCATCTATAAAAATATACCCCCAAATAATTTAATGATAATTCAATGAAATTTAATAACTTTTATTATTATCTTTAGGATGACCTCCATCTCACAGAGCTCTACCCACCCCCCCGAAATTTAATAGGTTATTTTTATTTTATTTTATTTTATTTTTTTTTGTGATAGGGTGATTGTCCCTGTAGTTCCAGCTGGCTAGGACTGGTTATGTAGACCAGGATGGCCTCCTCAGTGCTGGGATTAGAGGTGTGTGCCACCATGCCAGCTGAAATTTAATAACTTTAAAGGATAAGTTTAAAGGATAAATTGTTGGACTGGAGAGATGGCTCAGTGGTTAAGAGTACTGATTGCTCTTGCAGAGGACCTGGGTCTATTCCCAGCACCCACATCACAGCTCACAACTGTAACTCTAGTTCCCAGGGATTCAATGCCCTTTTCTGACCTCAAAGGGCACTGCACAACATGGGTGTACCTACCCACATGCAGGAATACACTCGTACACATAAAACAAAATACAAATATTAAAGGAGAAATTGTTGGAACTGACAACTTAAGAGGTGTTAATGATGAATTTTGAAAATACTGAAAGATTTGTTTCATTTTATTTTATTTTTTTTTATGTTTCATTTTAGATGAAAGTAAAAGCTGAGGGTAGGGCTTAGCAGGTTAAAACTGCTAGATGCCAAGCCTGATGACCTGAGGTCAATACCCAGGACCCAAATGTAAGAGAGATCCAGTTCCTGTAAGGTATCTGCAGACCTCCACGTGTGCACCGTGTACTGTGGCACTTGTGTGCCCATACACACTCGAGCACACAAAACAAATGAAAAAACCAAAAAACCCTGAGTACTGTTAGCTTGCTGAAAAAAACTTGAAAAGCAGTGTAGCTATGAGAGACCGGTTTCTCTGCCCAAGAGTGTGACAGTAGAATGTTTATACAGTACCCTCTGCAATCTGCAAGAAGCTATCTTTAATGATGGAACGAACTTAGGAACAGGTCATCTGTCACTTTACTATTGATAGAATGTGTATCATAAACCTAATTAGGAAAACGATATAAGCATAAAACCCTTAAAGTGGCCATTTGGCCCTAAATTGACAGTCTGGCCTTGCTCAAGTCTTACCAACTGGTCGCTCCCTGGCCTGAGGGAAACTTGTTTTTTGGGTTTACCTGCCTCCTTTAGGCCTTAAGATAGCTCTCCTGTTTAGAACATAACCTTGGGAAAGAGAATCTCAAGGACACCAGACTCTGGCACCAAGCAAAATCCTGCAGCTTTGTACAGCAGAATTCCTGTAAAAGTGAAACTCGCCTCTCCCTTTGATGTGGATGGCTGATTCCGGGGAAGGCCTTGGTTTGACTGTCATTTCTAAACCCTAAACTTTTTTTTTCCTGCTCTCCTAAATCTAACAATTATGACTGCTCAAAATAATTTTATTACCATTTCATGTTTGTTATGAATGTCAATGCAATTGAACACGTAGCTTCTGCAACTTTTACAGTTTGTTCTGATTACATTTATTGAATTTACATATATGGAAGCACCTAAAAATCTGGTCAGGAACGGTGGTAGAGCTTGTAACCCAGGATTCCCATGGCAGAAGCAGGGGGTGAATTCAAGGCCAGGCACAGCAAGCCCCACTTGAAAAATAGAAACAAAAATCACAAGAATCTGAGCTTCTATTTTGTATGGACCCACGCACATTTAAAAACATTCAGTTTTACTGTTTCCGAAGTGTCTCTTAGCGAGGGACCGGCACACAGCAGGGATGGTTAGAGAAGCTGCTCGGAGGGGCTGAGGCCGATGGAGCTCCACCCGGAGCTTCAGTCGGTAGTGAATAAAGCTGTGGGAAACGCTGAATTCGCGTCTGCGACGGGGGAGCGCAGAAGCCACAGCTACACAGACGCCCCGAGCGCAGAACGCAGGAGAGGAAGCACCGCCGCAGGAGAAAAGGAGGGCTGTTGGGCCGCTCTCGCGAGACTCCGAAGACGCCGCGAGCGCAGGCCCAGGCGGCGGCATAGCGTCATCGCCGTGCGCCTCTTCGGGAGCCGGTCGTCCACAGCATTGCGGTAAGTTCCAGGCTGGGTTGGGTGGTTGTGCTCTCCTGGCGGCCTGCACTGGTTCGGCGTAGGCCCTCTGGGGGCGGCGCTCTTCTGCTGCGCTCGGGGGCTTTGCCTCTGGCCCCGACGCCTCATTTCTTTTTTTCGGTCGCCAACTTGCCTTTCAAGTAATTGGGAAGCGAGAGTTAGGCGGAAGGCGCAGAGCACCTTTTCAGCGGCTTTTACTCCTGGTCAGACTGCTTGCGGCGGCTGTGTGGATCCGTTTGCCAATTTTGAATTTGAATCTGTAGAGGATTATCTCAAGACAGTAATTTTTCTTTTTGGACTGAGAAAACCCATGACTCGATTGCCTTGTTTTTCTAAGTAAAGAGAGGGTATTGTGGGGCTGGAGAGATGGCTTAGCAGTTAAGAACACTGGTTGTTCTTGCAGAACACCGGGGTTCGAATCCCAGCACCCACATGGCAACTAACAACTGTCTGTAACTCCAGTCCCAGGGGATCCGACAGCCTCTTCTGACCTCCGTGGGCATTGCACTACACGGGTGCACTTACGTACATGCAGGCAATACACGCATGCGCATAAAATAAAAAAAAGAGGGTAGTGAGCAGTGAATACGAGCGAAGTGCAAAAAAGTCGTAATGAATCCCGCTACGTTCTACACAAAAAATTAATTAAGCGAGCGGGATCTGTGAGCGGGATCTATTATTTACACTGTTCTGTTTTCACTTACTTGACATTGGTTAGGGATCTTTCAATGTACTTCAGGATTTTACTGGATGGACATGTCATTTTTTATTTAACCAACCTATATTAGTAGACATGCAGGCTGTTTTTCCTTAAAGTTTTAGAGTGTTGTAGTGGATGCCCAGTAATTTTGTAACATGAAAATTTACATTTTGAGGAGTAAAATTTACTGGGTCAAAGAATACATACATAGATGATTTTGAAATGTAGTGCCATTGCCCCACAAAAATGCTAATATATTTACACACCTACTAATGTGATAAGGGATAGTGCTGTTAGTGTTTTTAGTTTTTGCCTATTTGGCAAATGAAAATAACACCTGTCTTCATGGTTTCCTTAGTGAAGTTGAGTAGTTTTCTTTATGCTTATTGGTAATTTGAATTATCTTTTGACCTGCTGATTTTGTCCACCTTTTGGGATTGTGTAATGGCTAATCTTCGTTGTCAACTTTACTGGATCTGGAATTAACTGAAGTGATGGCTTCAGATCGCATTGCCTGTCTAAAAGTTTCTATGTGTGCCCTGGAAGACAGTCTTCTTTCCAGCAGCCGTAGAACTAAAGTTGCAGAAAATCAAACTGAAGCCCTGATTATGTGTTTGACTGACTGACAGTGAAAATTTAGTTCCCAGCCTCAAAGAGTGTCAGCAGTAAAAGTGAGGGCACTGCTGGGGAAAGACTGGGGTCCTGTAACTTGGGATGGAGATGTGTGGGAGAACTCTGGTGAGGCTAAGGTCTTTGAACCCTCAGCTCTGAAGGGTTTATTTCACCTGATGAATTAGTGTCTCCACCTCAGCGGAGAATGTATGTCCACCCCACACCCACATACCCACCTTCCTGCCTTTTTCACTCTTGCTTGTTGGAATGAATCCCACTTGGTAAGACAATACTGATGTCCCTCAGCACCCACCAGTTGTTGTCTCTAGACCAATAACCAGACTCAAGCCTAAGCAGGCCCCTACATGTGAGAAAGTATGGGCCATGAGGAAGTATGTTACACCACTAAAGAATTTAAGTGAGTTTGCTAAGTCATTTAAACAGAAGTCTTGGGAATATGTGAGAGAATGAATTTTAAGGTGTAGGATAATGATGGAAGGAACATAAAATTGGATCAGACTAAGTTTGTCAATATGGGGCCACTGATCAGAGATTCTCGGTTTAATATGGAAGCTCCTGCAGTTAGAAAAGATGCCAAAAGTTTCATTGGTTGGCTGAAGTATTTACCAAAAAATGGCCTACTAACAGAGAACTGGAGATGCTTGATATTCCTTGACTTAGTGTTGTTGAAGGGATTTTAAAGCTCAGGCAAATTGGAATGCTTGAGTGGATTTGCTGTGTAAAACTGAATCCTCCGCAGTGGGAGGACCCAGAGGACATGACTTTCCCTGAGGTTACAAGATGCGGAATGGCAAGAGAGGCACCAGCAACTTGAAGGGCCTTGTTTTTGCTCTTTTCCTTGTGCCACATTTTAGAGTTGGAGATGCTCAGTTGCATGAATGAAATATAATGGCTTTAACAAGACCTCAGAGTAGGGGTCAGGTGGCAGCATTGAATTGCCAAAGGCAAGGTAAGCATAGTCACCGTAATGGTCAGCAAAGACAAAACAATGCCTATAATGGCATGGCCTGAATGGACCTTTGGTACTGGCTAATCAATCATGGGGTTTCCAGGGACCAAATACATAGGAAGCCTACTAAGTTTTTATTTGATCTGCATATGTAGAACAGCTGTAGAACAGCTATAGAACAAATGACAGAAAGGACATATTGGATCATAGTGATAGGGAATTCCATCCAGTCAACCAGTTTCCAGACTTGAGCCAGTTTACAGACCTAGAGCCCCTTGAATGAAGGTAAGGTCATGTCTCCTTGAGGAAGGAAGGGCCTAGTCACAGTACCAAAGAGTTGCTGTTAGCCTTTCTCCCATCCTTCCCCAGAGGAACCTGTGGCCTTTTATTAAGGTACCTGTACATTGGGGAAAAGGAAATAATCAGACTTTTTGAGGCCTATTGAACACTGGTTCTGAGTTGACGCTGGTTCTGGGAGACCCTAAAAAGCACTGTGATCCTCAAGTTAAAGTAGGGGCTTATGGAGGTCAAGTGTTGGCTGAAGTCCAACTCACGGTGTGTCTAGTGGGTCACACATTGGTTCTCTGACCTATGGAGTGAGGGCTATTATGGTTGGAAAGGCCAAATGGAAGCCATTGGAATTGCCTCTACCAGGGAAACTAGTGAACCAAAAACAATATTGCATCCCTGGAGGGATTACAGAAATTAGTGCTACCATCAAGGATTTGAAAGATGCAGGGGTGGTGGTGCCCATCACATCTCATTTTAACTCCTATTTGGCCTGTGCAAAAGACAGATGGATCATGGACAGTGACAGTTGACGAAAACGCAATCAAGTAGTGACTCCAATTGCAGCTGCTGTACCAGTTATTGTTTTCTTGTAGATTATTACATCTCTTCCTGGTAACTGGTATGCAGCTATTGATCTGACAAATGCTTTTTTCTCAATACTGGTCTATAAGGACCACCAGAAGCAATTTGCTTTTGGCTCACAGGGACAGCAGTGTACCTTTACTGTCCTACCTCAAGGGTATAGTAATTCTCCAGCCTTGTGCCATAACTTATTTGGAAGGGATCTTGATTGCCTGTCTCTTCTTCAAAATATCACACTGGTCCATTCTATTGATAATGTGCTGATTGGATCCAGTGAGCAGGAGGTAGCAACCACTCTGGACTTGTTGGTAGGGCATATATGCGCATGAGAGCATGGGAAATAAATCTGGCCAAAATTCAAGGGCCTCCTACCTCAGTGAAATATCTAGCAGTTCAGTGGTGTGGAGCATGCAGAGACATTCCTTCTAAGGTGAAGGATAAGTTGCTGCACTTGGCCCCTCCCCCTACCAAGAAAGAAGCACAACACTTAGTGAGTCTCTTTGGGTTCTGAAGGCAGTACATTATATATCTGGGTCTGTTACTATGACACATATATCAAGTGACTGGGAAGGCAGCTAGCTTTGAGTGGGTCCTGGAACAGGAAAAGGCTCTTCACCAGGTCCAGGTTGCTGTGCAGTCTACTCTGCCCCCTGGGCCATGTGATGCAGCAGACATGATGATGCTTGGAGGTATCAGTGGCAGATAGAAATGCTATTTGGAGTCTCTGGCAGGCCCCCATAGAGGAATCATAGCAGAGGCCATTGGGATTTTGGAGTAAGACTTTATCTTCTGCAGACAACTATTCTCCCTTTGAGAGACAGCTCTTATCCTGGTATTAGACCTTAGAGAAAAACGTTTGACAATGGGCCATCAAGTTACTATGCAACCTGAGCTACCCATCATGAGCTAGGTGTTATCTGGCTCACCAAGCCATAAAGTAGGATGTGCACAGCAATAGTCCATTACTAAATGGACATGGTATATAGGTGATTGGGGCCGAGCAGGCCCGGAGGGCACAAGTAAGTTACATGAAGAAGTTGCCCATATGCCTATGGTCCTGCTCCTGTTACAATGCCTTATGTTCTCAAGCATATACCTATGGCTTCATGGGGTGTGCCCTATGATTGGCTGAGGTTGACTGAAGACTAGGGCTTGGTTTATGTATGGTTCTGCATGCTGTGCAAGCACCACCCAGAAGTGAACAGCTGCAGCATTGTAGCCAATTTCTGGAGCAATCCTGAAGGACACTGGGGAAGGAAAGTCTTCACAGTGGGCAGAACTTTGGGCAGTGCATTTTGTTTGTGGGGAGAAATGGCCAGGTGTGTGATTATTTACTGGGCTTGTGTGATTATTATTCATGGGCTGTAGCCAGTGGTTTTGGCTGGACAGTCAGGGACTTGGAAGGAGCATGACTTTATAGTTTTTGTTAAATTGATTTGTAGAGGCTCTTTTTATTTTTGTTTGTGCTGTAGATATTGTTATCTTAGTTTTAAAAATTTGAATTTAGACTTAATCTGTTTATTTACATGAATACATTTTAAAGAATCAGATAAAAGACAGAAGAAATTAGACTATTTTGAGGCTGGTAGTGTAACTCAGTGGCAGA